CCATTTTAAATAGTTCCAAAGATAAAAATAAGGTCCATGATACAAATTAAAAAGATTACTGTGGTCTATTGCGTTTTTCTACACCCTATATTACAAGAACGTAGCAAAATATATTGAAACTGTGCCATTTTATATGCTTTCAAATCATATTTAATGAGCTTTAAGATCTGCTTATGTTCGCTTTAGTGGTTTGAAGACTTTAAAACATAGTTTATTTAACTTTTCAAACAAAGATAGTAGACATGTATTCAACAAAACTTTTATTTTTGTTTCAGTTTGAACAGTAAAAACAGTAACAGAGTTCCCTGCTTTCTAGTATTCACGCCTCTAAACAAGCAAAAGCATATCTAAACCTCGATAGTGTGGCATATGGTTGGAAAGCTTATTATGGCGAATTTTTCAATATATTTTGCCACCTTCTTGTACACAGGGTGTAGAAAATTGCAATAGACCAATGGTTTTTCTTTAATTTTTATCATAGACCTTAATTTTTATTTTTGGAACTATTTACAATGGAGTTTTTACTATTGATCCTCTATCATTTTCTATTATTCTAATTCAAAGTTTAATTTAGAACACGAAAATGACATCATCTACTCAAATCTATTAAGAAATTGCTATATTGTGTATAAAACATGGTTAGTTTTGAAAAACTTAAGATAATTCTTCGAGAAGCTAATTTTAGAGAATTTCCCTGTATGGAAGTAGTTATTAGGTACCGTAGGTGGCATGGTACCGGTAAGACCTAGGCCCGGGACCGATTTACCTTTTCATTTTGATGTCCCCAGAGGCCAAAAACACCCTTCGTTCAAATTGTTATATATGTATATATGTATATATATAAGTGACATATACAGTATATATGTGGGTGTGTGTGTCCGTAAACGCAATAACTTAATTTTCGTCCGATTTTAATGGAATTTGGTTTGAAGGTGTAAGGGGGGATAAACTTGAATGAGTTCACGAACCAGCATGATCGGACCATGGGAACGGGGTTTTATGGGGTACAAATTGGTTTTTCTCACTTTTGACCCTCAAAACACAAAATTTTCTAATTTCTCTTTAGACCTTTTTAAAGAGCTTAAAAAAACAAACAATTTAGTATGTAAAAGTATTTTTGTACGGTTATAAATAATGGGGAAAATTAAAAAAAAAAAATTAAATTTAAAATTTCCATGTTATTCTTATAGAGAATATTGTAAAATGTTGTAGTTTGCTTATGTTTATGGATATATTTTGATCAAACTTGGTAAATTTATTTATTTTATACTAGGTTATTGATATTTTTCTTAAAAAAAAACACTTTTTTACCCTCCCTGGAGCAGCAAGCCTAGGTACTCTTAAAACCTATAATGTTAATTATATACATTTAATGAAAATCAATCCAGGCAAATAATAATAAACTATATTTTAGGAAAATAAACTATATTTTCAGTTGCACCATAATCTTTTTTTTCTAATTATACAACACTGATAAATCTAACATGAACTGGTTTTTACTCAGCTGGGTCCTCGCTCAACGGTGATTTCTTGTGCATGAACAAGAAAATCACAGTATCTTAATCTTATCTTATCTTATCTTAGAATCACTGCAAGTCATTCTAAGATACAGTAAACAGCATTTTACTCTTATGTTGTTAACCTTTTATACAGAGTAAAGTTTTAAGTTATTAACCTAGGATTAATATTGTCCTCAATATTTCAGCTCCCCAAAATCTATGATCTATGCGGTTGTCTTTTTGGACTATCCAGGCAACATGAAATAACAAATCAAATAAATATCATGATTTGTGTTGTATTATATGGCAAATTGTTATTGAAAAATCAAATTGTCTACTCTGCAGGTATTTTCAGGATGGTTGGTACCCATCCATATATAGCATATTTTGCTACAAGCAAGTGTTATTAAGTATATACGTATATAACATAAATAGGCAATACAACAAAATACAGTTTGCATTGTTTATGGTTTGTTCACTGCTAAATACAGCAGACGTGGTATGAGATAAGCAACTACTTTTGTTAAAACCGACGCTGGAAAACAAACCAATTTCTTCAACTTCTCTGTCAATTTAAAACAATAAGCGGATTTCCTCTTCCGTTGTTTCCAAACAATGAAAGGTTTGAATAAACTCAATACCTTGGAAACAAACAATACAATATTCTATTCAAGTGTTGTATAGATAAAATTGTGACCCTCTTCAAAGTTATTGTTTCAAACTTGTTTTGGAAACTCTCGTGTTTTCTAAATAAATATTAAAATAATGACGTATTAATGATTATATAATTCTGTTTAGTAAAACTTTAATTGTTTATTTATTTGCTCAACTCTTAAACCATCTTCACTACAAATAAATATCTTAGTAAACTTGCGCAGATCCTGTTATGTTTTTTAGGGTAAGTTGAGGTTATGGATCAATGCATATTTTTATTTGTGTAGATAGTTTTATAAGTTTTACAAGCAATGCATAAGTTAAAGAAGTGTGTGTTCGATGTTTATCCAACAGATGGTTTTAAGTTTTTTTATTTAGTAATGATTTTGAGTTCCAAAATAATTTTAGGGGTTTTAACTTGCTTCATTTGCTGTATGATTTTGGGATACGTTGAATCCTATTTTTGCTTATGTGTACATTTTAATGGCTATCCTAAGAGAAGATTTCTTGGATGGTCATAGAGAATAATATAAAAATATGATAAATCGGCAACACCAACAATATGATAAATTTTTGTTTTAATTAACCTTAACGCTCTTGAGGCTTATAAACTACAAACGTTTTTGCAGGAGGTCCCTCCCTACTTGTCTTCCTTTATTCAAAGGCTTGTCCACAATATCGTATATCATATATTTTATAAGCCTACTTATAATACACAAGACGCGATGCCTTGGTCATTTAGATGCTCAAAATAGTCCATGTTGATCCATAAATTTCGGGGTTATTCGTACAAAAATAGTGATATCAGTAATATGTTCATGGCGGAATATCGAAATCGTTACAAACACCCGTCACCATAGCATTGATTAAAATTCGTGTGCTGATTTTGCTGAAGAATATTGTCCCAGATAATAAAACAAATTTAATTGAATTGTTATTCAAATGTTTATTAGTCTATTATATCGCATATTATGTTTAACTTAAATAACATTTGAAATTATTATTGAATAGGTTTAGTACTACGGGCGGCTCCAAAAGGTACCAGCTGAGGCACATTAACAAAATACCCCCGCCGCAGCAAACCTGCTAACTAAGCGAATTTCAACTGGTCTGATTAAATTTTTACTAAAATATTTTCATAAATAAGACATATTTATTCGCAATTTCAATATCATTAGATTTAACGAGTGCTTAGGTTTGCTGCTACGGAAAAGTAAAAAGTGTTTTTGACCATACGTCAATAGTATAAGATGAAATGAATAAATTTGCCAAATATAATCAACATATACCCATAAACAAGTAAACTACAACAGTTCTAATTTTCTCCATATGAATAAAATGGGAATTTTAAAATACACTATGTTTTTAATTTTCTCCGTGACCGTTTGGCATACAACAGTGCTTTAATATACTTAATTATTTCTTTTTTTAAGCACAAAACGGTATAGACAGAAATTGAAATTTTTTGTTTTTAGGGTCAAAAATGGGAAAACCCCGTTTTTACCCCATAAAACACCCCATAAACCCCCGTTCCTATGGTCCGATTATGCTGGTTCGCAAACTCGTTCGAATAAACGTAGGTTTACACTTTTGGACCAAATTTCATCAAAATCTGAACATTTTTCCTACATAAATATACAGGGTGTTTGGTACTCAGTGTGAAAAAAATTTTTTGGTGTAAGTACAAAGTAAATGCAGTATGATGATGCATATAAAATGTCCCAAGTCTAAAAATTAGCTTCCCAAAGAATTATTTTATGTTTTTCAAAAATAACAATGTTTTTAAACTTAATACAGCTATTTCTCAATTACCTGTAAATGGATTTGAGTAGACAATGTCATTTTCGTGTTCTACATTAAATTTTGAATAAGAATAATACAAAATGACAGAGGATCAGTTGTAAAAACTCCATCGTAAATAGATTCAAAGATAAAAATTAAGATGTCTGATAAAAATGCAAAAAACATTGGTCAATTGCATTTGTTCACACCCTGTATACAGGAAAGTGTCAGAATATGTTAAAAACTGCGCCATTTTATAAGCTTTCCAACCATATGCTACACTATTGAGGTTTAGATATTTCTTTGTTTATTTTAGTGGTTTGAATGCCAGAAAACAGGGAACTTTTTTACTGTTTTTACTGTTCAAGCTGAAACAAAAATACAACTTTTGCTTAATACATGCTGACTTTCTATGTTTTAAATGATAAAGACGCCATGCTTTGTAGTCTTCAAACCACGAAATTGTACATAAGCAGACAGAAAGCTCAATGGTGTAGCTTAAGGATTTATAGTCAATGATACAACCTACAACAATGCAATTAATTATGGATATAACCGATAATAGAAATCGATAATATACTTTCAATCTCTTTGGGAATGAGAAATATGTACTGGTTCTAGACTTCAGTTGATTATTTTTTCCCTAGAGTTGCAATAAAACTACTTTTTCCTCGCAACATATGTACTGAAACAGCTGCGCTTGCTCCAGTATAACCCATAAAAGGGGTGCAATAACGAAAAAAGGTGCAAGGGACAAGTCTCGGGCAATTTTTCAATTAGAAGTCTACAGCCTAAAACATTCAACATTATAACACGTGTGTCTTTTTTACCATTTGAAAGCAAAAGCGACTGATCGGCATTATTGTTTACACTAGCGTTAAATAAAATTATTTTATACTCACAAAAACTAACGGGTTTTCTTTCAGTATGACGAAAATATTGTTTTTATAGTTATTTTAAACGTAAATTACTTTACTTGACTCGAACTTCATGTTGCTCGGATGAAGTCTAACTCAGTTTTTTACTCTTTCTCGGGTATTCCTTGTCTGGATCTGCGAACCCAAGGTCAAAGGAGCCGATTGTTGCTAACTCTGCCTCACTCCCTACCTCAGTCGCTCATGCTACTCCGTCCGGGCAGGGGATTCACTATTCAGGTACATCATTTAAATACCCTCATTATTTTAAACATGTTTCCTCTAATTCCATACTCAATCTTATAAATTTCAAAAGTTTCCCATAACCGTATTTAGATTAGGGTCTTCAGCATTGAACAATTACTGAGGAATGTACAGTAGACAATGGGATGTAATTGTTCATTTAACAATACTTTATTGTCCACTAGATTATTCAACAGACTAAAAATGGCATCCACATTTAGCATGCCACAAGGGTTTTGCATTAAATATATACCCAATGTTCGATGATATAACAAGTCAAGCTGTAACGAAAACCATTAGGTCTAGGTGGTAATTATTTTTAGGAATAACATCTTGATTAAATTTTTTTAGAAAATTGTCCATTAAAATGTTTATATTTATTCAATTGGAAAATTATGCTATCATGGCATTTGATGAGAATACCACAAACGTTAGTGTACGTTTGTGTATAAACACTCTAAACTCCATTTCTAATGGCATTTGCAAAAATCCAATGGGTTCAAAGTGATTTACGATCTAAATAGCGCTATATCGATTTATTTTATTCGTGATTTAATTCACGAGTTGTACATTGTTACCAAACATTTTCATGCTGTGCACCTTTATGGTGTCTAAAGGTCAAAAAACTTAAAATGAAACATGATTAATTAAATCCCAATCCTATAACAATAGAAGGAAAGTCAAGACCGTGTCCTGACATAGAATGTGCCCGCGAGTGTATCCTACAAAGGTAGCCATACCATGACATAACCGGTCTGCGTCTGCGTGTAACCGTTTTCGTTTTCGTTCACCTTGTTTTACTCTTAGCCATACTCTTGCTATCTTGCCAATGGGGACTCTATAATTGTGAAAAGCGAATTTCCCTATAGGGAAGTAGCTATTACCGTAGGTGGACACTTTCATTTTGATGTCCCTAGAGGTCAAAAACACTATTCGTTCAAATTTGTATACCTATATGTGTGTGATAAACTTGAATGAGTTCGTGACCCAGCATTATCGGACCATGGAAACGGGGTTTCATGGGGTAAAAATTGGGATTTATAATTTTTGACCTTTAAAAAATAGAATTTCTCAATTTCTCATTAACAAACAATTTTTGTATAAGTGTTTTTGTACGGTTATTGGTTACGGAGAAAATTTCAAAAAACGTAAATTTAAAATACCTATGTTATTTTACACAACACAACAATGTACTCAGCTGTTAGTCGGTAATAGTGAACTATGAGGTTAGTGTATCGGTACAGTATTGATCTGGCAGTTGAAGTTGGATTGCTCAATCATTTAGGGATAAAAATATTTATTTAGATGTCCTAGCATTAAGTCGATTAAATAATAATTACGTCGGTTTCTGAGATACACAAACTATAAGGATCACCAATTAACCTACGAATAGCAGAACCTTCGTTGAGATCATTAAATAACTTAATATTATTTCTCATTCCTCAATGAATAATACGCTGAACTTAGTAACAAAACAATTACTTAATTTTGGGATTAAGGAAACATTGTTACTTCATTTGTAGATTCATAAAAAACCACAGTACTTCTACAATGACGTTTCAGTCATATTTACGACTTATCAATGACATATTATCAATCATATTTATTTGAGAATCGTTTTGAAGGCAAGGACAAATTACTCAACTGCACTTTAGTCATTCTTACCGTAGGTTACCGAAATTGGGATAGAGATACCAAATCTACTTTGTGAATACTGTATCTAAAATTAGTTGTGCTCTGTGCTCTTGACTCGACTGACTTCCACAGAATGTTGTACGGCACATTTGTATGCTGCTGGCCAACATTGGGAACATCGTAGCAGATTTGTGCAACATTGCCCAATGGTCATGTGTCAGTTTTGAATGGTCTCAGATTAAATAATAATGACTTGTCATACATACTGGACATACTGGACCACGCAGTTGCAATGAAAACAGAGGGTCGGGGGTTCATATAAAAAAATAGAGTTGAAAGTCGCTGTACAGTTTTCGGGAATTTCAAAGACTGAAGTTCAAAACCTACTGAGCTTTCATCAGCAGAAGTTTAAAAAACTAGTTAACCTCGTAGTAATATCTTGAGATTCTCGTGTGGTATTTTGGCAATAATCGAACAAAAAAGGCATTGTATTTCTTTTTCCCAGTTTACACACTTAATTGGTTATACCCTACCGTCTTACTTTCGTGATAAACTATAATCAAGCAGCCAATTTTATTTTAACTTATTACTTATTCACTATTTAGGGGGAGGGAAAAAGTCGGCCGAAATTACTCGAACACATACCAATATAATAGGGTCTAGAGCTTATTTACTCTTCCCTGTGTGCAGCAACCCATTGCTGGCAGCTTTAGTAAAAGCCGGGCAACAATACTTCATTTTTTGTTTTAGTTTTGTTTGTAGTTTGTTTATGTGTGTATATTATTTGTAATGTTGTTATAATGAACAGAGTAGCGTCTTTGTTAATTGTAAATTGTCTTTGTTACTGCTTGAAGAAAAATGTTCTTCAGGTAGCCTAAATCACGTTTTAAGGCTTTTATTATCAACATTTTTCCTAGCGGAGAACCCCCGGACCCCCATTTACTGGACCCCATGGACCACGCATTGTGATGCAGATACCAAGCAAATATATTATAGAAGCCACCTTGACGGCAAGAGATATTCTGTTTAAGACATGTCGACACACTGCATGTTGTATTTAACAAAAATCCCTTTTTTCTGACTTTTATACAGTGAGTTCATTGAGAGAAGCAGATTCAAAACTCTGCTCATGCTGCTCCCGGCCTTCGTAGAATCCCTGCACATGGGAACAGCATTTCTAAAGAGAACATGGCAAGGATAGGAAGAATCTACATTAGCCTGGACCTGGAGAGCTTATCCCAATGAGCTGAATTAGCACTTGGTCCACAGAGTGTTCAAAAGCTGGGGGAGCCAAAAGTACAGAGAGTCAAGTCGTGATATAAGTCATGTAACTCAAGACCGCGACGTTTAAAATAAAAGTATAATCATCATTGTAATATTTCATGTGTGTGATTGAATTAACGTTGTTTAGATATTGATTTTGACCTTAGTTGGGTTGCAAAGCAATATTAAAACGAAACTCTCATAAGTAAAGTTATTTCTATTTATTTTTTAGTGAAAATAAATAAATACCTCGTCTCTTGCCAGACAAGAATTTCTGGTCTCTATGGTCCTTAGTTAGCCAAAGGCGAGTTTTTTTTTTGTGAAAACGATACAAACTTTTGTCGGTTTACATTACATGTGACGGATGTTTTCTGCAAATAAACACAAAGCTATCTTAAAACCCGATCATTTACTTTTCCTTTAAAAAGGTTCGTGTTTTGGTTTTCAAAAGTCGCCTCAGAGAGACGCCTTTTACACCTTACACCTAGGTTATTATACCGGGTTTTCACTTTACATCTAGGTTATTTATTATTTCAGTTTATCGAGTATCGAGAAGCTACTCTGCACAACCCGCATGTTAACCAAGGCTACTCCCACATGCCGTGTACGACCGTCAGACCTGGGAACACAATATTCTGACGTATACAACCACAAACACACATGGTGATATAAGGCCAAGGGATAAGTCACCGGAAAATATTACTGATAGTGTTAAAGAGTTTTTAAGGGACCAGAGATCTGCTGACGCATTAAGTATGGAGATTGTATGGACGAATTATGCATGTAGAACTAAGCTAATTGAGCTTTGTAACTGACCAAGACCAGCTGGTTTGATAGCCAGAGAGTGGAATTCTACAACCACAGATTGTGTACAACCTACTTTATGGTAAACCGATTAGTTTCGGTACCGAATAGGTAGCATCTTCAGAACATGTACAAGAACTTGTCTATTTAGTTTTCTTTTTCTGATGACCGTATACATAATGAATACATAAATGATGCCAGAAACACACAAGACACGTTAACATTTAATAATTAATTAACTGATTTAATGGGAAGCGAACACGGCGGAAGCTGATGCCAAACTGAAATCACATCTTATTTAACCTACCTTTAGTCTAATCGCAGAGCTTATTAGCCATCTATCTAATTGTATATGGAGTCAACTTCCTTATGATTGGTACTCTCGACTATTTTAACCCTTAACTACCCACATTTATGTAAGAAACTCCATACATGAAACCCCATTCCTGTAAAAATTACGGTTCAAAAGTTAATGCAACTTTTGTGATTTTGCCTATTAAATATCATAGTTACTCTTCGCCTACTACTAACAATAAAGGTTGTTGACAAGCTAATGGGAGAAAGTATGTGTCAGATTTCTGATACAGTTTATTTTATTTTGAAAACAGGGTCACCAAAATATTTTAGATTCGATTTCAAATTTGTGGCTCAAGGTAGTTGACGAGTTTTTCGTTCTTCCTCAACCACATTGCGTATACCTCATCATGTGACCACAGTTTATGACAGGGCTTTTTGTCACCGCTACCGTCTGGAACGGCCTAAATCTGCAATCTGCATATTAGATCCCTCGAAAAAGACGTTCCCAGTTTGTAGCGACTGTGACTTTGTACGACTGCTGATGCGTGGATGCGTGGATGCGTGAGTGTGTGTATGTGCTTTCATAATTTGCTGTGGTATTGTATTTATTTATTTTTTATGCATCAGAAGCGTTTATTAATATTAAGTATGAAGATGTATATTAGATTAGTTTAAGTAATCTCTTTGTATTCCTATGTTTATGTTAGTCAGGTTTTGTGTAGGCCACGTGGCCCTAACTTTTCCTGTATTAATAAATAATTTACCATTTCATTTAATTTAATTTCAACTCCGAATACTACTTATTGATGAAAATGTACCTTATCAAACTTTTAAAAACTAGTAAATTACTTTGTAAGATGTTCTGAAACGTATTGAGTATTTCCCTCAAATATATATAAAGTTTAAATAATTACAAAATGGTAAACTCGTTTATGAGTTACATATCTATAGTGCTCTAGAGCCCAGTATGGTGCAAAGCTTAGTAAATTTGACAAAAT